ATTTTCACAGATTTGAGAAAACCAAGGCAAATGACAACTGGGGAAAGGATTTGATGATATGCAACATGGACCCTAAACTGAATCTGGACCATTTAAGGATATCAGTGGGCAAGATGGAAAAATTTAGTTGTCAGTAGTATTAGTGGTAAACATTGGGTTGCTTAAGTATATTCTGTTATATAAGATGCTAACATTAGGGGGAGCTGGGTGAAATATGTATACATAAAAACTATACTGTTTTGTCACTTTTCCGAAAGCCTAAAACTATAAAACATTTTTTAAAAATTTACAGATGCAAGTACCTGAAGCTGGCTGCGATTCTTCTCTGTAAGAAAATCTACTTGAAGATCATGTAAATAATAACAAAATGACTTTCCATTCCGATCACAGAATAACAGAGACTTATTAACAAACTCTTGCAGTATGTCTTCAACTTCTTCAGTTTCCAGGTCCCAGAGAATACATAACACCTAGGAATCATTTTAACCATTTAATGCACCACAGAATTACAGTGAAAAGGACAGTTGTCAGAGTATTAACACACACACACACAGCCCCCAAGAAGAATGTCTCCATTTCACAAGAAGCCCCCACTATTTTTCTCTAGAAAAGAGACAGAAAAATTGGATGCTTTTCCAATTTCTCTAGAACAGGAGCTCCTGAGCTGATGAGACCACTTGCCTGGTTTACACTCCACCCACCCCCTCAGGCCCACACTTTATCCTTCCATTATCTTCCTCAACAATGTCTTAGCACTAGGTCAAAGGACACATGCCATAAATACCAACGCTGAGGCTTACTGGTCCATCACTTACCTTTGTAGGCACCTTAACATCTTTCTGAAGGATGGAAAGATCTGTATAATAATCTTTGATGTCTTCTCTGAGCATCTCAACACTTATAGACATGGCTTCATCCAGAGCCTCATAATCATAGGATGAAGACTTCCTAATTCTCTTAAACTGCTTATTCTGAAGTTGCCTGAGGTAGTACTCCCAACGGTTGGGGAAATCACGTAAAAGTGCACCAATTAAAGACACTACAAGAGGAGAACCTAAAAACAAAACAAAAAAAAATAACTGTGTAAATACTACCAGATCTTTAAAATCTCCACTGGGTTAAGAAAACAAATAATTTAGTCCTTTTTTTTTGACAAGGTCTCGCTATGTAGTTCAGGCTGGTCTTGAACTCACTATGTAGTCCAGGCTGGCTGGACAACAAACATGCAGTGATCTTCCTTCCTCAGCCTCCTGAGTGCTACGATTACAGGCATGCACCACCACACCCGACCAATTTTTTTTTGGTACCAGGGATCAAACTCAGGACCTTGCGCTTGCGAGGGAGGTGGCAGAACCACTGAGCTAAATCCCCGGTCCCTCAGCCAATTTAGTTTTAAAAAACAATTTCCACTGCATATTACCCAAAATCTTAAATAATTTCTAACTGCTGGGTCTACTTCTAATTATTTATGCTAATGAAATTATTAAAAATGAAGAT